TAATAATAAAATTTAAAAAATAATAATAAGAACTTCAATGCTGTTATTCACAGATACAATTAAATTAAAAACTTCAATGTATGCTGTTATACACAAATAAAATAAAATAAAATGAAATGAAATTATATAAAATAAAATTATTCAAAACAAAATTTAAAAGTTGATTCCCTGCCATTAATTCCACCTGTCTCTCAGATAACATTCCCTTGCTGACTGTCAAGCAAATAACTCTCTGACTGACTGCATGCAACTCTATAGAAGCTGATGCAAAATAACACCGAGTCTGAGTTCCACAGGTCTGAGTCACAAATCGTGATGATTTTGGACGGCATCACGAACAACTATGTACTACACAGCCAGTAACACAACATTCAGAAATAGCAGTAATAATTGTGATCTGGCAGATGCTGAGAAATCCCAGTTCTTTGCAAAAAAAAAAAAAAATACATTGATGATTTTTTTGTCTTGTTTCTAGTCCAAATATTGAAAACTTCTTACATCAAGAAGCATTTTCTAGACATGCACAAAATATTGTCTTGTTTAAAGAAATATTGAGTCAAAATTAATTGAGTTTTTCCTTAAAACAAGATAAATAATCTACCAATGGGGTAAGAAAAATAATATTATATCAAATGTAAAAACAAGATTACTTTTCTTACCATATTAACAGATTATTTTGCTTGTTTTAAATTAGATCTCACTAATTTTGGAAAGTTATTTCTTAAAACAATACTAAACTGATCGACCACTTTTTTAATTACACCTTCCCAACTGCTCATTAATGTAAATGTCTAAATAGCCAATCACATGGCAGCAGCTCAATGCATTTAGGCATGTAGACATGGTCAAGATGATCTGCTGCAGTTCAAACTGAGCATCAGAATGGGGAAGAAAGGGGATTTAAGAATGTGGCATGGTTGTTGGTGCCAGACGGGCTGATTTGAGTATTTCAGAAACTGCTGATCTACTAGGATTTTCACGCACAACCATCTCTAGGGTTTACAGAGAATGGTCTGACAAAGAGGAAATATCCAGTGAGCGGCAGTTCTGTGGGCGCACATGCCTTGTTGATGCCAGAGGTCAAAGGAGAATGGCCAGACTGGTTCCAGCTGATAGAAAGGCAACTCAAATAAGCACTCGTTACAACCGAGCTCTGCAGAAGAGCATCTCTGAACACACAACACGTCCAACCTTGAGGCAGATGGGCTACAGCAGCAGAAGAGCACACCGGGTGCCGCTCCTGTCAGCTAAGAACAGGAAACTGAGGCTACAATTCAC